GCGTGTACTGCGGCTCCCCGCGCCGTGTCGGGCGGTGCGAGGGCTTGGGCTGCTCTGCCCTTCCTCATCCCTGGCGGTAAGAGGAAAAGAGGGTTGTGGTGTTTCTGGGAGCATTTCTGAGTCCGTATTTACTCAGGGTCTCTTTAAGTCGAGTGAGGTAGGGGAAGCTGCTATGAGGAAGGGCGTGGGGTTTCGCTTACTGGAAGCAGTAAGAAAGCAGCAGGAAGAAACCAGGAGCGGTGGTTTACCAGAGCTGTGCACCTGCGTTTTACACCTGATAAGCCTTAGTGTAGCTTTAAAGATCACACCATCTCTCCAAGTATAAGTACAGCATTCTGCAGTTTTGTGAGAGTGTAGTTCCTAAGGTTCCTGAGTTTCTTTTTTCTAGAAAAATAACTCAAATAGGGGATACGGGAGACACTTTCGATTTTATTTTATGTGCCGTGTGATTAATATTCTTGTCTGTATGAATGCTTTGTGAAATAATAGTATTAAGAGAGGGAGAACTGGGAGAAAATAATTTTCCTGCTGTATTTTAGTAACTGGACAGAAGGATGAGGAACTCTGCATGATTGGATACCTTTCCATTACATCTGGAAAATGGTATACAGGTCACAATGAGCAGTCTGATGCAATTCATGGGAGCTATTTAATCCTGAAAGATCCTGTTCTGCTACTCTGAACTGATTTTTACTGCGGAGGTAGAATATTCAGCAGCGTGTTGTATAGTGTGAATGCATCCATGTTCACCATTATGCAGTAGGGCCTTTACGCAGGGCCTGTGTACATTATCATCATCATTTGTGCCTTTCCCAACAGCAACAAAATTGTCCTTTGACTTTGTTTAATTGACTTGGGTGCTGTTCAGACCAGATAATATCAAGTACATCACTGCCAGAATCAGAGATGCTTTTTAATTGTTTTGATATTCCTATTGAAGTCAACAAAAAAAATTCCTCTCCTCTTGTGCTTAAGACCAACTGGTGCATATTTAGTTGTTTGTTTGTTTGTTTTTTTAAGTAATGCTTGCAACTAATTATATAGCACAGTCAATGGTGGAAATAGTTACTGGTTTTCTTGTGTGGATTTGGGGGGGTGCTTATAAGGCTGCAAAGCATTTATCTTGAAGTTTCTTTTCATCCATGTTTAAAAGGAGATGCCAAGTGTGACTCCACTCTGACAGATTTCAGTGTTTCCTTTTTATAGCATACTTCAAAAATACAGACTGAAAACTTGAAGTACCTTAGGAGGCCCGGTTTCATTCTAAACCACTTCTTAAAATTTTGCATGATTTGGGGGGGTGGGAGACTAGTAATTCAAGTGTATTCAAAATGTACACACTTGTTTGGAATCATAGATGTAACTAGTTCCAGTATTTTTTGGTTCACAGGCAAAACCTGCTTTTGAACTGATACTGGGAGCTCAAGCTTTAAATTTCTGTCTTGTTTACTTCTACCTTGAGGATTTTGCTTGTGACTTAGTTCTTTAGCTTCATTCCTTTTGTTCTTTTCCTCCTGTCCATGCTGCTGCCACCTTGTGCTCTGCCTGCTCTCTGTGTGTTTCTTTTTGTTTTGCTTTTGTTGCTTCCTTGTTCTATCGCCTAAAAAATATCTTTGGAGATGTTTCACCTTTTGCCTACAGGGTGTGTATGTTCAAGTTATCTTAGGCTGACAAGATCAGAAATAAATTACTGCAGAAATACATTTCTTACCCAAACTGAGAATGACTGAAATAGAAGCTGCTTTTTCCTCAAGTATATTTGAACAGTAGTGTCCAATGACAGTACACTACAGCAGGGCTAAATGAGAGATCTCTCTTGGTTTGTACGATTTTTTTTTTCTTTGTGACATTGCAACAGAAGAGATTAAATGTAGCTGACCCCATTCTTCCACTCTCTTTAATCAGAAGTGTTTATGAAATGCCACATGTATAAGGGCTTGTTGCTTGCTTCACTTGTAATCTCTATTTTGCCTAGTAGCCTTTGCCAATTATAGGAAAAACTTACTCTTTTAATTCTTAATCCTACATCTTTCAAAAACAAACCCTTAAATATAAGGATTGGATTTGAGCTGGTAACTGTTTGTCAAATTCAGTCATTTAAAAGTATTATGTATTGCTGAAAAGAGGGCTTATCCTGTTGAATTATTTTAAAAGTACCGTATGTCTAAAGTATGTCTGTCATGTTTTCTCCTTCAGAAATCGATGAAAGGATTCCTCTTTGCTAAGCTGTATTTTGAAATAAAAGAATATGAACTTGCTAAAAGGTAACATATGTTGATGTATGTTTGTTTTTCTGTTCTCTAAAGTGTAAGAGAAAAGCTAAATGAATATGAAGTAGACCAGAGAAACCAAGATCAATTTCATGCTGTTTTAAGGTAGCAGTAAATGTGGGTATTGAGTGCCATTTAAATCTTTATAAAACAACAACTTAAGATTAGTTATGTGTTACTGAAAAACTTACCTGGTTGAAATGGCTGTTTTTTCCCTCATTGTATTATGTAGTTTTTACTTTTTCTGGGAACTACTGCTTTTTTTTAATAAACAGGAATACTTGCTGGCAAGTAAGTAGCATCTGTACATGTAAAACAATGTTGCTTCTTACTTTAAGGTCCAGGCAAGGTATCTAGAACAAAATCCGTCTGTACTTCCTGTATGGCAGATTAAGTTATCATAATAGGTTGGGGGGGAAGAGTATTACTGAAAAATATTGGTCAAGTAACTGACTTTTTTCCCCTCCATAGGTATATATCTACATACCTTAATGTACAAGAGAGAGATCCCAAAGCACACAGATTTCTTGGACAAATTTACGAAGCTGAGGATAACATAGAAAAAGCTTTTGGGTGTTACAAGGTAAGTACTACCCTGACCCCTAATGTCCTGCTTTATTCCTTTGTAAATGGACTTTTAAAATCCTTCTGGGCTGGACATTCTCAAACCCATAGAAGAAAACGTGTTCCTGGAAAAACTGTATTATTTGTACACATTTGACAATGAAAAGCATATGAAGCGCTGCAGAGGAGATTCTTCACTTTATATCACTTGCTGCAGTAGTATATTTTTTAAGTTGATTCTTTGGTTTTTTGTTCTGGGCTTGATCTTTGTGCTACCTGCTGTTAAATTCTTCCCATGTCATACATGGCCTTTTGGACTAAGGATCTGTGACTGTTGTAGAATTCCTTAATGTGGACTGTGATGACAACAGGAATCTAATTACTACTAGAAGACTGTAGGCCTAGTAGGTTTTTTTTCGGTTGGTTTTGGAGGGGGTGGGGGCAGAAGGGAGGGGCGAATCTAATTTTGATGAGGCAAGCATGTAAATGTTGAATTCCCAATTGAATGTCTTTGTTCTGGTTTTGGGGAGGGAGATGATGTGCTCAGAAGTCTGGTTGCCAACACAACTCCATGAAGTGCTATCACACTTCTTAAACTGTCTTAGCTTTTTTTTTTAGTGTCCATATCTGGGTAGACTAGAGGTCCTTATAGTCCTACTGCCTGTGTATAGCAGTAGCTGGTGGTAGATGCAGAGGGAGCTGGCTTTTGCATTATTTCTCTTATGCTCTCCTGAATTCCAGCAGTTGTATCAGGGCGCTGTAAACTAGCGGTGACATTTAGAAAGTCTTTTTTTAATATATTCTATATTGATAGATCTAACTGATCTGAATAGCTGGGTCTGTTTGAGGCATAACTTTCCTTCCTGTTCTATATGGATTGTAAGATCAAGTTACTTTTTTTTTTCCCTCCTGTGTGTGCATGGGGAAAACTAGCGTTCCGTGGAGTTGAACCCAACACAGAAAGATCTTGTACTGAAGATTGCAGAGTTACTATGCAATAACGACATTACTGATGGAAGAGCAAAATACTGGGTTGAGAGAGCTGCTAAGCTCTTCCCTGGGAGTCCTGCTGTTTACAGGTTGAAGGTAAATTCCAAATTACCTCTGTTCTGTGGCTTAAAGAAACTTTCAGCTTCTGACTGGACTGCTTTTTGCATGTCACCTCACGCAAAACTCTTCTTGGCTAAATTATTTTAGAATCTTTAATATTAAATCCATTAGATGTCACTTTCTTTGCAGTCTGACATTTTTGTCTAGCTTTCAAGAAAGCTGCAGCTACAGGCTTTCGTACCCTTTTTAATGTTTCAAGGTTAATCCTCTTCAGAAATGCCGAGAAACTGTGTTAGTTAT